AAATAGGAATAGAAGGGAAATTCCTCAATTAAGGGCATTTATACAAAGTCAACAGCCAACATCATCCTAAATGGAGAGACTTTGAAAGCATTCCCCTTGAGAACAGGAACCAGACAAGGATGCCCTTTATCACCACTCATTCAACATTGCACTAGAGGTTCTAACCAGAGCAATTAGCCTAGAAAAAGAAATAAAGGGCATCCAAATTGGTAGGGAAGAAGTCAAAGTATCTCTATTTGCAGATGATATGATCTTATACACAGAAAACCCCAAAAAATCCACAGGAAAACTACTGGAACTAATAGAAGATTTCAGCAAAGTTTCTGGGTACAAGATAAACATACAAAAATCAATTGGATTCCTTTACACCAACAAAGAGAACCTCAAAGAGGAAATTACCAAATCGGTGCCATTTACAATAGCCCCCACGAGGATAAAATACTTAGGAATAAATCTAACAAGAGTTGTAAAAGACCTATACAATGAAAACTACAAGACACTACTGCAAGAAGCCAAAAGAGACCTGCATAAGTGGACAAACATTACCATACTCATGGACAGGAAGACACAACATTGTGAAAATGTCAATTCTACCCAAAGCGATCTACAGATACAATGCAATCCCAATCCAAATTCCAATTGTGTTTTTTAATGAGATGGAGAAACATATCATCTACTTCATATGGAAAGGGAAGACGCCCCAGATACGTAAAACATTACTCAAGAAGAAGAACCAATTGGGAAGCCTCACACTACCTGATTTTAGAACCTATTATACCGCCACAGTAGTCAAAACAACCTGGTACTGGTACAACAACAGATGTATAGACCAATGGAACAGAATTGAGAATCCAGACATAAATTCATCCACCTATGAGCAGCTGATATCTAACAAAGGTCCAAAGTCCGTTAATTGGAGAAAACACAGCCTCTTTAACAAATGGTGCTGACATAACTGGATGTCCATCTGCAAAAAACTGAAACAAGACCCATACCTCACACCATGCACAAAAACTAACTCCAAATGGACCAAAGACCTAAATATAAAATCAAAAATGATAAAGATCATGGAAGAAAAAATAGGGACAACTCTAGGAGCCCTAATACATGGCATAAGCACAATACAAACCATAAGTAACAATGCACAAGCA